ACACTGACGGAAGCTGCCAGCATCAAGTCCCTGTGCCTTGGTTTATGAAGCTCGACAAGGGTAGGCCTGTGTGGTAGAGCGCTCGGGACCCGTTGGTCACCCTGCCATTTCCCTGGTCACAGCATTCGCTTAATCGGCCCCTCTGAGGAGATCTGGGCGAGTCGGATTCTATTCTGGTGTAGAAGCGCTCACATGTGGCTGCGCTTTTCTCGACAAAATGTTTCTGGGGTGCCTCTGATAACAACATCCCGGTTTCTTCCCTGGGCTATGTGGGTGCGAGCCTTTAATCGATGCAGGTAGTCTCTTAGGAACGTGGTTAGTTCGGTTTACTTTGCAATGGCCTCCTCGTAAGCGCCTGTGCACGCATCAAGCGCCCCTTACCCTGATGGCAGGTGAGACTGGATGGTCTTGAGGTTTCCCTGTTTGTTTCCGGTTTCTGGCATGCTAAGTCCTGAGGTTGCCGATTTGATGATGCGTGCCTTTTCCCCTGTATCTAGGGGGGCCACTGACGTGATTGGATGGTCACCGCGCTCAGGCATGCCCACTAATATCCATCCCCCAACATTTTCTACTCGAGAACTTTTGCCTATAGATTGGTTCCCATTCCTAGGCATCGGAGTTCATAGCTCGGGATTACCTCTGCTCGCCTGACTACATGGGGTCGAGTTACAGGCAGGTGCTGGTGTGGAGATCCCTTTCGGTGGTAGCATCTTCACCCTGGATGTTACGATAGAGCTAGTGCATTTAGCCCACACCCATTTCAGAAACTTGTATGCAGCATACTGTTCGACTGCCTTGGTTGTTAATTTGCTGCACTGTTGGTAGAACCAATCCTGACACAGATCACAACGTATATCCTCTACAATCTCTAGAGAACAATCTTTTCTGGCACACGAGTAAGGTGTCACGGTATGTTTGGCTAGTGCAGCCACTACTTTAGGATGATTCTTCTGCACGACCTTGGCGCTTAGCAAGATATGCTTCAAGACTATCTCCAATAAAGGGGATATGTAAAGGTGAAAACCTTAAATAAAAACGATAAAAACTAAGGGTAAGTGAACCTTGGTAGTACTACTTGCAGTAAATGTTGTATCCTAGTCGCTCACCCAGACGAGAGTTCATCACTTTGGTTCTATCACCCGGGTTTAGCTCAGTTTTGGCTCTCAAATGTGGAGTTCCGATCTCCAGCTCGGACGGTCCAGTATAATTTGCGCCTTCACTACTTTTCCAACAAGTAATTTTGGCTTTCGAGCGTTGCCTCCTCTTATTATCGACCTACTTTAATAGTGAAACTTTCCGCTCTAAATGCATTTGTGGGACAGATGAAGGGAGACAGTGAAGGGGGTGGATACAGTACTAAGTAGGAAGAACGAGGGTAAATAATTCAGGGGCTAGAAACATTCTCCCGAGGTGTATTTATCGCAGAATCCATCTCCCGAAAGCTTCCGTAAGCTTACCACAACAAGATCAAAACATGCGCGCGTTCAGTTTACTGTTATAATCTTGAAGTCTTAAAGTAGTACTGAGGTTCGAGGCTTGCGCCTAATAGTCCCGATTCTGTTTTTTCTTCTTTTCTGTACGAGCTTAAAAAGAGGGTAATGGAAAAAGGAGCGGGCTCCATCGTGGTGCCACTGGGTTGAGGTTGCATGCATTGGGAAAAAGTGAAAAGAAGGAAGAGAGAATGAGAGAAAAGGGATAAGACGGACAATCAGGAAAAAGTGGATGTGCACCCCAGAAGACGGAGGCCAATTAGTTCTGGGGAGGATGAGCCCTAGGTGTGAGTAGAGCAGTGTTTTGAAGACCCTTTTCGAGGAGTAATTCACAGTCTATAGTCGAAGTTTATTTCACTCTCAGCTGATCCCGTGGGTGAGGAAATTAGAGCGAATGAAGGTTCTGGGCTGGTGTTTAAAAAGCTTTTTGGCTAGATCATGTGAAGAGATGATAAACTAGACCTAAAGAGGTAGTTACACAGAAGGAATAGATCCCCTTCGATACGTCGTATATCTGAGGGACATAGATTGAGCTGATTAAGCCGGGTAGGGTAAGGGAATTCTGACAAGTCATGTACTAGTTTTTTGGCTCTTCACGGCACACGTTTCAGAGATTCGAGGTCGTGAATGAAACCGGAATGTAAAATTTGGCTACAGCATTCTAACAAGGGGGGCATGTGTGTTCCTTAGAGGAAATGAAAGTCGTCTTTGGTTATACCTTTTCCCAAGCTCGTGCAGAAAAGAAGACAAATGCAGAACCGGGATTATTCGGTGCAAGCCTCGAACCTCGGTACTACTTCAAGACTTCAAGACCACAACACTGAACTGAACGCGCGCGAGCTTTGGCCGCGTCGTGGAACTCAGGTTGTTGCGCTTTGTTACACTTTGATGTTATAGTTGTCCCTAGCTTTAGGTGGTTTTTAGGTACGATGATCTTTTTGTATCGTTATTATATCTGTAATACCATTCGTATCGTCTTCCACTGGATTTCGTACCAATGATTATTTCGTATACATAATCATCTACGTCAATCATTAAAAGTCATGGTTGCTGGAGGGGATAGAACGAAGGCCAGCAAAGTGTCGAACACTATCATATCAACTAGAGTCCCATGAAGCAACTTTAAGTGTGCCAAGTCTATCGTGCCCAACGGTATTCAGTTTGACGCGTGCAAGTCTTGGTACAACAAGGTCTGCAGTAAAGCTGACAGCAGAGAATACAAGTTACAATTTAAGCACGGTTTTCTGCAGTGGTACTGCTTGGTCTGTAGGCAACTGCTGACAGAACTAGCGAGAGGTAGGACTAAGGGGGATACAGACGTGACTGAGATTAGTACTGAAATCCAGATGGTCGAGGGTGGCAAGGAGACCGTCAGCAGAGGGACGGACACTGGCGTGGGAATTAAAATCCATCGTTTGATCAGCAACCCAAGTGCCGTCCAACAGTAAAAGAAAGTCAACACATCAAAACGGTATGAAAAATCCAACGCTGCAACCTCCTTCAGAGTGAAAAACCGTACGCAATGGGGTGGGTACCACACCCACGCCCATGCAGACTAGCCTTAGCACCCGATCAGTCAAAGTATTCGATCCTCCGGAATTAAACTGATCATTACTGGCCGAGCAGGATATACCCGATAGCACACTTTTACACCATTTTTTGTCAAAATCTCACTCCCTGAGTTAAAAACACTATGCCCCAAGCGACTAGCGAGGAGCCAGGACTACTCATACGCAGAGCACCCCAGGCTTCTTAATGTGTCTTCTGACTCAGCAGATGACACAAGTAAATTTTTTACATCGGCGAAGGCTTTAAGTACATTCTCCAAAGTTCGCAAAAGACCCGAACTTCCTAGGTCCATCATAAAAGACCTAACGCGTGCCAAGGGCCCAAACAGAACATATTTCTGGGCGAAAAGCATCATCTTGCACGGAGTCCCTGAATCGTGGAGAAGTGATCTCCAAGCGGATGCACAACATGACTTTCCTCAATAGATCTTTGTAGCCTCTAAGGTTGAATTTGAGGGGCTAGTGCTTAATGGCCTAGGCTGATTGCCTATGCCAGCACCTCTGCTGCATATATCCCAACCCAGGCTGCTTAAACTGACGCAACTCAAAGAATCCATGACTCAAGAGATGTGACGGTTTTCAACAGCTTTTGTACACACCACGTTTGTAATTGCGTTATTGTTCTTTTCTTATCGCTTCTTTCTCATTTATTAACTCAACGTTTAACAGTTCTTTTAATCGGCCTCCTCATTACTACCTCGATATCTTTGTGATCCCGCTCCATGATTTGCTCTACTGTTTGTCGTTCTGTAACTGGGATCTACGGCGGTTCCGTAAATCGCAAATATGTGTGCATGCATGCCTATAATAGCAATGAAATTTCAACTGTCATGCAACTGTTTTCCTACGTGCTGGAAATTCAGTCAGTCGAAGTTCAAACAATGCGATTCTTATAGCAAGTTGTTCGGATTTTCGTTACAGTTTGAAACCTTGGTCAAATTACGTTCAGTGAGCGCTTTCAAATGCTTCTTCTTTGTTCCCAATATATTTTCCTATTTTGAATTTAATGTCGTGTCAATCTGGTCAATCAACTAAATATCGTCCTCCGGGGAGAAAGAAATGTAGAAACCTCCGTCGTTAAGAGCTTGAGTGCTGCGCCATCCCTGAGGGGAATCACACCGCAGCACGAGGTCTGCAATGAAAAAGGTAGAAGTAAAACTACGGTTGTTGACGCCGAAGCTAAGCTGGCTCTTGCAGAGATTGAATGAAACAGCGCTGCAGAAAACGCAGCTTCCTGGTGTGCCAAGACAAGCTACAAGGAAAGAGTAAAAACCTATCTACGATAGATTGTGCCCGAAGTGAAGTTTGGTAGTGGCGTTAGAGATTCACCTTAGGCACTTAGGCATGACAGCCTTCGTGGCTTAGAACTCCTAAGGCTGGAACTCATTTCTTTCGATGAAATATTGGCGATTCAAACGGCATTTCAATATGTTCTTTGTTAAACTCTCTTGAGGAGAAGGAAAAAACTGGCTTAATTGTTACACGGCTGTGAAGGAGTTAGCTAGAGGATCTATAGTAGCGTGAATGATAACTGCAGAGGAAGATTGGTATCACACGGCCAAGGATCTACTCGATCGACCGCAGGAAGCAATCAAGGTTGTAGTAAAAGAAGTTTTAGCGAATACAGTAGAATTAAGTGGAACAGGCGAAATTCTGAGCAGGCTTAGCGATAAATTGCGTAGCTCCTACATAGTCCCGACGGAAACGAGATGTGGATCCGAGTTGGATTCCATACCCGCGTTGGACTCATTGGTTACACGATTGCCCAGACGCTCACAATGAACATGAGCCGAAAGAGCGAATAAGAACGTATCCGACGGCGGACTGTACCAGTTAATCGACCTCAATTAAATGACAGAAGCAGAGTCGAGGATTCAGAACAGTACTGCAGGACGGCTATTGGACAAAGGGCTTTCACTAGAGGTTAATCGCAACTAGCGCCCGCGGCGGAGAGCTAAATTGACAGATTTCACCGTCAGTTCAAGGCGGCTTTATCTACACATTGTCTCCTACCGTGTAGTGAAACCCTGGCCGTAGTAAGTCTTAGCATTCGCAATTCTATTTGCGTCGTCGGCGGGGCCTTTGAAATTGGCCTTGTCATTTTTTGTTATCGCTGGAGTTTTGGTTTTATCATCGCATAACTTCTGGATATACTTTTGTATCAATTACGGTGACCTCAACGACCACCTACAACACGCTTAGTTTGATCTCCGTACGAGCATCCGTGAAATATACCAATGAACCGTTCTTGCGTTCCTTTTCCCTTTTTGTGAGAATTAAGGTTAAGGTGATCACCAGAAATTCGCATGGCAAACAGAAAAAGCATCGCGCTGGCTAAAGGTTGCTCTTGCGCACCGAAAGCTGAAGAGCATTAGTTTTCCCTATCTTTTTTCGTCGAATTTCTGCTCAAATCTTTCTAAGCTATCGAACATCGGTCTTCTCAGTCACCAATGAGAGTGCTACAAAAGTTGCGTGCTACTTTTTCAAGAATCTTGATTACAAGAATCCGTCGATGAGGAATTGGTTTAGATCGAAGATTTCCAATTATTTCGATCAGATAGACCTCCAGAAAGGAAAACTAAAGGTGAAGGCATCATCACTTATGTGCGCCGGTCGTGATGTAGCTCCACCAAATGCATATTCACTCACTGCACACAACCATTTATTGTATTTCTGTGGAATGTAAGTCACAATTTCTCCTGCATCACTCTTTGATCATCTTTTCAAACCTATACATCACTCTTGACTGTACTCCTAGTGAGTTGCCTATCTTCCTGGATGTATTCCATCCAATCATTTTAGAGAAGTCTGTCACATCTGTAATCATCGTTGCTGGCGATTTCAACATATCTGATGTGATCTTTTACAAACTTATCTCCCTTCAGAACGTTGTTACTTTTTCCACTCAAAACTATGCCTCCTTGGACCACATTTTCAATAAGAAACCATCTTTTTTCCGTGCCTTCAAACGTGCACTAGTAGGCAATTCCGATCACTGTCCGATTAAAGTTTTACCTACAATATAAAGTAAATGCAAGCAACAGATCCTGATGAAGAACGATGCACGTAAGGTACGTTTACGATAAAATCACCTGACCAATTTGATGGAATTAAAATCCATAGTTGACGGAACGGACTTACAACAACTCTTTGATCCTGATATTTCAGTCTTCTGTGAGAACCATACCAATTATCTCAACAATTTTACGATTTGTGCTGCCCTCAAGGAAGAATTCACCTAAAGCCCAATCCCTTCATCTCCGATATACTGAAATGGTTACAAAGGCTGAAAGAAAGAGCGTATCGTTTAAGAGATAAACTGACCGTCAAATCTGTCATTTTCACATCACAATCGAGATAGCCAACCTCAATCAATTGTATGCTGACACCGTGCTTGGTGACAAATCCTGCCGTCAGCTACGGAACGGACTGAAGTTGCTCTGTGGTCGTTTAACTTTATCTACTACAGTCTCATGTGATATCAATGAGCCCATCAAAGCTTTTGCTTCGGTAAAAAGCTTTGTGCAAGCTTTACCGAGTCCAAATGCAACGTCACCTTCCTGTGTCTGCCACAACAGAGCAAGTTTTAAACGAGTTAAATGCTGTCAATGGAAACAAATCCGCTCTTCACGATTGGTTATCCCCAGTGGTCCTCAAAACGTGCACAAAATACCTCGCACAAACCGTTCCATTTATCTTTAATACATGTTTGTTAGAAGGAAGATTGGTTAACACATGGCGTGATGTTCGCAGCACTCCAGTATCTAAGAAAGAAAAGGGTGAGTTTTGGCCTATTGCTTCATCTTCAGTATTACTAAGACTTTTCAGCGTATTATTATTAAGCACCTATTCTCTAAGCTCCATTTTTATGATTCCAATCAGTTTGCTTATTGTAAGCGTTGCTTTACTTTAGGTGCGGTTGTTTGTCTTATACATTCTGTTTTATCCACGTTTGTTTTTTGGACTACACAAGTGCGTTCAACTCTGTCGACAGAAAATCCTATTGACACTGTTACGGCAACATAATCTCCCGCCACATCTTTTGAACTGGATGCACGACTATTCTACCTACACACGCTGATACACTGGTCTGAATGGTATTACGTCCTCTACTGTTACTGTAAACCAGTGTGTAATGCAGGGTGCAATTTTGTCCCCTTTCCTGTTCATCTTTTATATCTAAAACTTGCCAGTCACCCAAATGTTTTCTTTCTTTAAATATGCCGATGTCATGGTAGTTGGTGGTGCATCTAACAACCACAACCCTTCAAATAATCTCCTTCAATCAACCACAAGTTCCATTTTTGAATGGCCCTATAGTGTTAACCTATCTTTAAACCCCAATAAATGCATTGAAGTTTTGTTTTCCATTGACCGTAAGTCATCAACTCTTTCTGGATCAACTTTTACCGATATCTTGATCAATAAATTAAAAGTTGAAAGGTCACAAAACTTCAAATATCTCGAATGTTCCGTGTCCGCTGACCTCAAATAGTCCTATCACGTAGAACAAACATTTTTAAAGTCAGAAAATTGACCTTTCATATTTGACGCCTTCGGTATCTGAGGGTGCCATCGTACATCAACTCCAAGTTTATTTTCTCATGCGTTTTATATCATTTGACCTACTTCTCTCCCGTTATCTTTCCCGGTCTACTGTCTAAGGATTTCATAATAATTAGACGCTCTCTGAAAAGCATCTCTATATATGGAGCTGTACCTTACGGGGAGCTGGTTGATTCAACCAACACCTGAATGCGTGTGACCTTCTGTGTGACTCCATCTCGTCCGATGCGTCACATCCCTATCTAGCTCCATTTCAACTTCTGTAACCCGCAACAAATTTAAACCTTTATATACTTTACCACTGCTTTTCATAACTCCGTTGTACCTTATCTTTCACATTTGTTGGTTTCCAGGAAACGAATATGACACGAACTTATACAGTCTCTTGTAAATTTTCAGGTCGGAATTTTCTTTATTTTTTTAAGCGTTCTCCGTGTCCTATTCATCATCATCTAAATAACTATTTTTCTTACCTTTAAGCTCATTTTTAATAGCGCGCACACCAAAGCAAAAGCGATAACATTCTTTCCACTGAAAATTCTGTCCACACTGGATGAATAAAGTGCACTCTTGATTTGACTTGACTCCTAAAGAGGATCTCAAATGCACCGCAGCCGAGTTAACTTTTGGAACCAATCTGCGTCTGCCAGAAGACTACATTTCTCCTACCAAGCACGAGCAGTTTACGACATAGACAACTATGTCTCATGGTCCCGTTTCCATGTGGGCAAATTGACACCCACTCAACCGCGTCTGCAGTCAAGACGCGTGTTTTTTTCACAAGGATCTGGCTCACTGCACTCAAGTCTGGGTTAGATTAGATGGTGTGAGGAGCCCTCTTCAGCCATCTTACGATGGTCCCTTCAAAGTGGTCAGTCATGAATCCAAATTCTTTATTATTGTTGATCGCAATGGCAAGGGGATGGTGTCTCCTTGATCGAATAAAACCTGCTTATCTCAATCCCCTTCGTGATTCTTCACTTTTACCGCCTCATTCATTCCTGTCCCTCCTCCGGTGACAGCACTCCCAGGGGACTCGAAGTTAGGCTGCCCTAAGCACTAGCACATCCACGAAGTCAAGTTGTAGAGTTCATTTTCCCTTTAAATAAATTGTTTTGTGACTAGGGCAACCAGGCGATTTACACGTGTTTATCATTGACTTTTCGTTGTTTTTGACGTACTAACAAGTCTTGAAAACCTCCAAAAGTTACACAAAATACATGAAACCAAAAAGACTAGAAAAAAACTGAGGACCAAAAAGCGCAATATTATTTTCTCGTGTTCCTACTGTTCTACGTAGTTGAATAATCTATTTCCTGTGCTTCTTGTGTCATTTTTTTCACGAGTCTGTTCCTTTTCAGAGTCCATGCTGCTCTGACGATTACCCATCAAGTATACTGAATGTGGACCAGTTTTTCTGGTACATGCTATGAACAAGCTTTCAGAAATTTAGTACGGACTGCTCTTTTTATCGCACTCACGACACCGAAGACGAGGACGAGGTGTGGAGCCTCCTACCAAACCATGCGTTATGGGTCTCCATCGCTGTCTGGCACCTTCCTCACGGGTCGCTTGAATATATCCGACGCATTTGGCCGTTGGGAGTAAGGAACTGGTACAAGCGGGGTAAAAGCGTCTAATAGAATAAAGGAGAAGCCTAGAGTCCCTAGAGGGGTTCGAGGGGAGAACGAAGTAAAACAAGAGAGAAAGACGAGGTTTAGGGAGATTTGGCAATAAAAGGGTAGCGGTCCCCGAGTCAGCTGTATCTTAACTGTTCAATTCAGTCCCCGCCCCCATCGAACATCCTAGTTCATACAATATATACTCTGTGGTGGTATCAGGCCGACAGTGTAAATTGCTCCAGAGTTTTTACCATCGTTGGTCTGCCTGTTCCGATGTATGCTTTCGCATGGTTGCAAACATTAGTTACTTGAAGCATTTCACTCATGCATTCTTCTCCTTTGTAGCATAGATTCCGCCAGGACCGTCCATATCCTGAGACAGCTTCTTCATCTAGGTCTTCCAGCTTTATTTAAGTCACTGCTACCTCCGGTGAAGTAACTTCACTTTAATCGGTGCGTGAGTTCAGTGCCACACTTTCGCTCGCTAATCTCTTTGCTTTCAGACACTCCCGAGCGTAGGCAGGCTGAAATTCCAATGCCTTCAGGCAACAATAAACTTCCCCTCGACTAATCAATCGTTCTTCATGGTACATA